TTTTTTTTCATATTGTATTAAACTATTGAACTTATTTAATGAGTTTGGTTGCTGTTATATCTTTATCTAATCTAAAAGTTATTAATTGAATATTTTTATATTATGTTTTTTTTATTCTTTAAAATTTTTGCTTTTCTTCATGAAAAGGAAGTTGATGTGTTTCCATTATTTTTTGTATATAGACATGAGACGAGGTACGTGAGGTGCATCTTCTTCTAGACAACAAGTCAATCTAGAGGGTGAACCACAAAGGCAACTTCGTTGTCTTATTTGGGGGCCTCGTAGGTTTGTTTCTACATAGCAGTAGCTGCCCAGCATGAGCAAGCCTCCCGCACAGCAACAACTTTCTAGTTTGACTCAGCTGCAGTAGGAGCAACCCACTATTACCAGCCACCATTGGACGATGATCAGTATCCTGGTGATGATGCAATAATAGAGGAGGACATTGAAGAGCGTAATTTGGAGGCTGAGTTGGATGCTGAGTTTGTTGTGCTTGATCCTGAGTTAGATGCTCAACTGGAGGAGGAGCTATCATGTGCTGTCCTAAAGACAAGAGGTGGCATGGATAAAGGAGATGGCGCTCTTGCAGACCCGAGTCAAAGGAAGTTACTTAGCCTTAATTGCCAAGGCACATTCAGCCATGAGAGGTTTGGGAGGATTGCCACAGTAATATGGAAGTACTTGTATGATGAGCTAGTGCTTTTTGGTCTAGCTGGCCTGAGGAAAAGAAAAGGGTTGCTTGGGAGAGTTTTCAGGTATGAAAATTATAGAATAAAATGAAGTATTTTTTGAGAATTTATTTAGATGTTATCATTTTATTTTATGGCATTCGATATGGAAGCACAAGGTATATTTTATAGGATTTTTTATATTTTATTTATTAATAGTGGAAAAAAATGATAATTTAAACAAAACTTTGCTTTTTTTTTTTTAAAGAAAAATCAAATAAATTATTAAAATTTAATTACTTTTTTTATCATTGCAGAGGACATATTATTGGCAAGAAGATGATACTCAAGTGTATAAAATTTGTAGATTACATTGTCAGAATCGTTTCCGAGACGAGCTTCATCGAGCTCGAAAGGCGTGGGTCAAGTGCAAAAAGTTGCCCAAGTTCATGCATAAGGATACCTTTAAAATTTTGTTGGCAAAATGGGGGAGTCCAAAATATATTGCACTCCAAGAAAGAGGTTGGAAAAACTAAGCGAAGGGTGACCGTGTGACCCACACAACTGGATGCATTTCTATTGGGATCCACGAGGGTTGATTGGTTAATAGGATATACTTATATATATACATATATAAATTTTTTTTGTTTACCATAAAAATGGAAATGTTATTGATTTTATTGATGTTTTAATAGGCAGCTAAAAGAGGAGGAGTTAGGCTGACACCTTTAGAATCGTACTTGTTGACTCACACGACTTGCTGACCTGATGCTCTAGAAGATGCCCCATCCACTTGGATATGTCCACAGGCTGAGTAGATATATGTAAGAATTTGATTCTTTTATGATATTAATTTTATTTATTTTTAATGTCAATTTTGATCAAAAGAAGAAAAGTGATACAATTTTTTATCCATTGTACTCAGGAAATGATTATTTTTCATTTGATTTCCCATTATCATTTGAAGTTGCTAACTAATTAAAATTTTATTTTTGAAACAAAACGATGCTCACCAAAAATACGTGGAGAAGCATGGGCCAAACAAGGATTTGTGGCCAGACTGGGATACACTTTTCTGGAAGGAGGTGGTTGGACCTCGTAAAAAGGGTCAGATGAGAGGGATGTCTACATTACAGGATCCAGCAGAGCATGGCACTCCTTGGCGACGGTATGACATGAGTGAGGCCTTCTCTTCTACCACCAAGATTCTTACGACATAAGTCCAGCAGTTGCAGTCTGAGCTTCTTAAGTTCGGGAAGAAATGGCTGAGCGAGTTCAGATAGAGGTGGCCGCACGTATTCATACAGAGGTATCACAGAGAGTATCAAAGATGGAGGCCAGCTTTGAGAGGAGATTCCAAGAGCACATGTGCTTACTTAGCCAGCAATATTCTATGAATGCTACACAACCCTAGACTGGTTGTCCTTCTTCTGCACCACCCCAGACTGTTGGTCCTTCTTTTAGAGGGTTTAGACCTGCTCACTTACCACCTCCTACTTAGAGACATTGATATTTTAAACTTATATTATATATGTTTATATATATGTACTACATTGGTATATATATAGTGTGTAGGATAAGAAGTTAGTATATATTTATTAACTTAAACTAGTTTTTAGTTATGTCGTATTTGAGTTTAAATAGGCAAAATATATAATATTAATAAAATCTAACAATCCTATAGTAAAAAGAAAAAAATTACAATATAATATTTCGCAAAGAAATAGCATATATATACATATATATCTTTATCTAAACTAGAATTTTTATAATTAATTATTAGCTCAAAAAAATTGATTCTTATTACTTTTAAAACCAAAAATTTTACAAGAGAATTAATTTTAAAAAAAAACTCAAAAGAAAAAGCAAAAAATAATTCAACAAAAAAGAAATAATTAGATAAATCAAACTGTCCATCAGTTTAAAGAGATAGTATATTTGTTTAAATATAAGGATTAAAAAATTAAAAAAATAAATTTGAATAAAAAAAAACCTATGACTATATTCAACAGCCATATATTCGGTAGCCATTGACTGTCGAATATAGTTATATTCGACAGCCAATATGGCTATCGAATGTAACATCGCCCTGCCTTCCCAGCTAAAAAAATTGAATTTCCCAGCTACTTAAATTTCAAACATAATCGACAGAAATTCTGTTGAATATGTTTGAGATATAAAAACCACTCCAACATCAGAACATCTCATTGTCCTTCGATTTTCATCTTCTTGCCTCTTCCCCTCTCCTTCTCTTTCTCCTTTTCCTTCTTTCCGCAGGTAACATCTCTCTTTGAGCTTCTTCTCCTTTTATTTTTGTTTTTCTTTCTTCTTTTACATTCTCCTCTTTATATTTTTGTAAATTATCTTTAGTTTTGACAATCCATCATCTTCTTTCTTTTCATTCTTCTCTCTTTTTTGTTGAATTCTTATTATTTAATATACTAATAGTTTTTTTTTTCAGATTGTAATACATTGATTATGAAGTAATATGAGCTAAATTTTGTGATTTACACTGTAATATCCCAAATTTTCAGGAATATTTAAGTGTAAGTTAAGGACTTGATTGTGGAAAAATGCTGTTTTGGGGCCTAATGGTAAAATGTTCAAAAGTTGAGGGTTTTAAAGAGGGAAAATAATTGGATAAGGATTAGTTTCTTTTCTTTTTCTTTTTCCTTCTTTTCTTCCCCAGCCGTTTCCCGATGCTGCTCTTCTTCTTCTCGCTGCAGCCCCCGAAATCCCCCCTCCAAGCCGCCGGCACCAGCTTTGAAAAATTGGTGAGAAAGCTTGGAATTTCTCCTTCTTTCTTGTCCAAGAACTTGATTTGGAACCCAGAAATCTTTCCCCCTGCTAGAAAATCCGGATCTGCCCTGCTTTGCTCTGTCTTTCCGCCAGCTGCTCCTGCTTTGTGGGGGTGATTTGCTCCGGTTTTGGGTAAGAAACAGCTACCAATCCCTCTGTTCTTGCTTGAATTAACTTGGGTCTACCTTAATTGCTCTTGGGTTCCTTTAATTTTGGGTAGATCTGTGAGTTTCTCCCCTGCACTTGTCGCCGGCCTCCTCCCCAATCTGCACTCCGGTTTTGCTTGCTGGATTTATGGTATGTGGCAGCTTCTCTAAGTCCTAATTTACCCCTTTAATTGTTGAATTTTGTCCATGGATTGGCTGCCCCTGTGATGTCCGAAAGTTTGCAGAAATTGGGAGTGAATTTTGATAGCTTAAGCTATGTTTTTAAGCTTGGTTTAAGTGTAAATTAGCTTGATTAGTTGCTGTGACTTTTGGAGAAAATCTTGTGAAATTAGCTAGTGTTTTGGCCAATTTGTGAAAGTCGGGGTTACTGTTCACGTCGTGGTACTGTTCATGGGTACTGTTTATGGACATTGTTCACACCCCGAGGGCCAACAATTAACGGGAATTTTAGTGATTAGTTTGTGATATAAGAACGAATTTGGAGATATTTGATCATGTGGAGATTGATAGGAATAGCATCGGGATTAAGAGTGATCTTGATGATTTCAGTTTGAATTTGTGATAGTCTGGTATTAATTTTGAGGTGTTTTGATTAGGTTCCCGATCGTTCTGTCAGTTAGTGCGTGAATTGAGTGCTCGGTTTTATGCGAGTGAGGTAAGTAATTTATGGTAATGCCCTTTGATTTTAAAAGCATGTTTTGATTTGTTTTTGAAGTGGTGGCGGGACTAAACCCGTTTTACACTAGCATGACTGATTTGAAGTGAAATGTTTATGTTTTTCATTAAATTGAGTATGCCTACTTGAAAGTGATTGTGAACTGTCCTGATGATCTGAAAGTGATTGTGAATTGTGATTTTCCTGTTAACTTCTGCCTGTTTTGTCTCCGATGTGGTCATGTTATTCGTGACCCTGCTAGTGGGGGAGGGTATAAACACTAGCACATGTCGATATGTTATTCGTGACCCTGCTAGTGGGGGAGGTTATAAACGCTAGCACATGTCGACATGTAGTGATAGAGCCGGTTCGTTCAACCCAGCTAGTGGGGGTTATACACCAGCAAATCGTGGCC